GGGTTATGGTGGATGCATTAGGGAAATTGGTCCTGGCTGCCTGAGACGGCATACTGTACTGAAGTAATTACAGTTGCTGGAGGAATTCTGAGGCCAGTGTGTGTGTGTGTGTGTGTGTGTGTGTGTGTGTGTGTGTATGCATGCGTGTCCGGAATATTCTGCCGCAGAGGGTCCATGCCCCGCCCTTCCATCTCCCCCAGCAAAGCGGCTGCCAATGGGATAGGGCTGGGGTTTTATTGATGAGATGGATGAGGAGGGAGATAGGGATAGAGAGACAGATGGGGCTTCTGTCCAGGCCATGGCAGTGCTGGGGAGCCTGCGCTCAGGGATGTCGCCAGCGTGGCCAGCTTCCACTGATTAGCAGCCACAGGAGGCCCAGCGCCAATGATGATGGTGATGCACGCCCACAGAGGATCTGAGCTCGGCTGAGGCATCTCAAGAGACATCCACCTGCAGGATGGGACTCACCTGCTTCAAGTCCTGGAAGTACAACAGTGGAGCACAGAAAGGTGAGCGAGTGCTTCGCTACTTCCCACCGGTGTGTTAGTTGTTCAGACAGTGTGAACTTGTGAAAACTTTTTTGCAGCATAATAAATGTTATATATAGCCTAAACATTTGATTATATTACATGTTATATAAATAGAGAGAGAGAGTATACAGAGTTTCAATAATCAGAATTAAGATAAACTATACAATATTGAGCAGTGCTCATAACTAGAAGCTTAACCTCAAAGATATGGTTTGCAGGAGTTTCTGGGTCAAACGATTACTTCAAGTGCTTGAAGGGAAGCAGAACATGAAGGACAGACACCATGTCGCGTTGACCGAGATTTCACTTATGAATATATTAAAGCTGAGATGCGACAGGTATATTGCTGGTTTGTCATTATGGGCAGGAGAGGATTTCAAAATAATGAGTTTGAAAAGACTCGGGTGGAACAAGAAAACAGAGTTGACTAAATCAGTGTAATTACAGAGAGATCTGAAAATGAGGATAGATAACATAAATGTGAAAACCTGAAGTCTGCGGAACAGCTCTGCTGTCATATGTTTTGCCTGTTGCATAGAAGTAATGTTATTGCTACAAATAACACCCCCAACAGGGAACTTAGAAGAATGCAAACTGATGAGTCATGCGTGATAAAATTCTACATTGTACCATGGATAAAAAAAAAAGTCTTTCTAATTCATGCAAACATGACGAGAAAGACTAGGCTGTTGTTTTTACACCGCATAACCACTTCAAGGAAGCATTTGCCATTGTTTCAATTACTGAGCTATAAAAACAGAGTCCCTAACCCCCCATGCTCTTTATTACATGCAGAATTCCTGTCTATTACACAGATTGTGTCAATGACATACTGAAGAGACCTTTTTGAAAGATATTGTTTTTTGTTTGTTTTGTAATTTTGAGGTGTTAAGTTTTATTTTGGTTTTAGAAAATAAACGTATTTGCTCTCCTCACAAATCAACTCTTTCTTGTTTTTGTTTCATGCTCTCTGTGCCTTGCCCTGGACTTTTATGTCACTTCCTGTCTCCCGTGGTGTTTGTAGTCAGTTTGTAGTCCGTTTGTTCATTGGTTCCCCTTGATTAGTCTCCCCAGGTGTGTCTTATCTTGTTAAGCTTGTTAACCCCCTGTGTGTATATAGCCCTAGTTTTTCTTTAGTTCCTTGTGAGTTGTTGAATGTAATGGTTGTCTGTTTGCCAGTCATGCTGTTCTTTGTTCCCTTTGGTTTTTGCCTTATTGTTTGTTCTAGTTTTTCCATGAAATACCAGCACATAGATCCTTGCCTCTGCCTGTTTCCCCCAGCTTCTCCACAACGTTACAGTTTTTCACTGGCATGTCTCTTTGACTAGTGCATCTTTGAGCCTATATTTAGTATAAGTAAAATACTTAAGTACTGTTAAAATCAGATACTCCAAGACTTTTACTCAAGTTGTTTTGGAATTGGTGACTTGTAACGTGTAGTGGAGTAATTTTCACTGTAAGGTATCTGTACTTTTACTCAAGTATGGTTTTTAGGTACTCCTTACCCCTCTGCAAACGTCCTCTTTTAACGCGAATGAAA